TGTCACTTTTGCTTCCTGATCCTCAGATGTCACCAAGCTCCACTGCTATCACAATGGAAATAATAAAACGTACAGATTATTTTTTCTTTTGTTCTTAAAATCTAACCGTGAGAAAAAAGGGAGATGGCACACAGTAAAAATCACAGTTGACAACTACAACATAAAGCTGGAAGATGAGAATATTTTAAGACGTGAGATAAAGAATTGCAAAAGCTACCAGCAACACTGTTTTAAAATGAGATCAGTGACAAGCACCGTTTAAAATCCAATGGACAGGTTTTCTGGTGACACACAGAAACCATACACAGGCAGTGCCTTAAATGGAAGGACTTTTTCTCTCGTCATCTTTTGATACTAGTATTAGTAGAAATTGCATAGCAAAACCTCTAAAGTACACCTATGATACTTTTTATACCTTACTTTTACATATAATTGAAAGGAGAATGTACTATTATTTTGTTTTTTCTCTCCTCTTGCTCCTAGAATGAACTGTTTAAAGACACACAAGCTGTTAGTCTCTCCTAAAATTACAGAAAGATTCCAGCAATAAATATTCTGATACAAACTCCCTTAGCACACAAAGCCTTTTGCAAGCAACTTCAAGTAAACCAATCATAAGCAAGTATCTCCTTCAAAAAAATTAACCAGAACTAATGAAACCCAACCCAAGCAAGACAAAAACCCCAAGCACACGACACCTTCTTTCTCAGAGGAGGAGGGAAACCCTGTGGTAGGACAGGGCATGGTCTGCACCACAGCACTGCACTGCCCCACCTCCGCAGCCTTCCCTCCTCTGCTGCCCCTGCTCAAGTCCTAAGCTCCATAAACACCCTAATTCCAGCGCCAGTCCTCGCAGGGACAAGCTGCTGGGAACAGGGCACAATTTTTCTGAGCACTAAGGTGCCAGAGCAGGGCCAGATCTCTTAACCCAACGCTGGAAGGGGTTTAAAATTCCATGGGAGAATCTTACGCTGCAGGAATCACTCCTGGTTGGTGTTCAACCTAACCGATATGGATTTCAGTGCTGCTCTGCATGGAAATGCTGTAGAATCCAAGTCTTTACCGATTTGTTTCTTGCCTGCACTCTGCCTGCCCAACGGCCCACACAACCATACGGCTCTGCTGTGCAGGAACCCAAAGAACCAAACCCAAAGTGATTCAAGGGGACCCCAGGAGGAAGCAGTCTTGTTCTCCTAATCTTTTCTCAAGCGCACAGTCGCTTACAAGAACAAAAACTGGAACTAAAACTGGTGAAAGGCCCTGTTACACTTTGCTCACGCAGGCACCTACCATACAGGTCGTTTGGTGCTTGCGCGTCCTGGGTACACGCAGCTAGAACAAGGCTCTGCAGGGTTATGACCAAGTGCAGCAATTAGCATCACTCGGGCTCCACAGAACAGCTTTAGGCTCCTTGGTAAATTCACCTCATCCTCTGCTTCTTGAAGGAAAAAACATGAATGCACCATTTGCACTGCTAACCACAAAAAAATGAAATCTTCTGCTTCAGCACAAAGAAGGATACATAAGAAAAATATTTTTTGTCAGAACAAGAAAGGGAACAGGATTATTCCTGTATTCTCTAGTAGGTTCGGTCACCTAAATCCCCAGTCGGCCATCTGGGATCCAGGAGCAAGCTTTCTGTTAGAGCCAGACACAGCCCGTACACCCCTCTGAGCAGCAGAGATGTTCCCCGAGCATGCACAGTAATGGAAGGACACGGATAACTCCTGGATCAAAACAAACCTCTAAACCTTAATTTGCTGATGCAGAATAGCAATGAAGGGGTCAGCTGTTCGTGAGAATAGAGAACGGAATTAAAACTTTAAACTAAGGTAAATCTTATAATTTTAAAAGACAAAACAAAATGAAACTCTTAATTCACAAGATGTTAAAATCACAGTAGTTATTAACCTAACTTAAATTAACTGGGCTTGTTATTATAGAAAGTCATCAAATGTACTTAGCATTCTTTAGAGCCCTACAGTCAATTAATATAACATGAAATTGAATCAACTTGAGCATCTAGAGACGCAGAACCTAGATTTAAATGAAAACTTCAGCCCCATCTACCTCAGGGTCTGCAAATTTGGGATCACCTACCACATTTTCTCCATTGCAACAGGCACAAACCCTCATTTATATCCCATATCGAATTTACCCAGAAACAAATGAAAGAAAAAGGGAAAACCATCTTCATGATTAAATTTTACAGCTGAAGCTAAACCCAGTGGAGTTTTCACCCTTTGAAGCTAGCTCTGTCTGACTAAGGGCCAGATTTTCTGAAGTGATTAGTACCACTGGGGCCGAATTTTCAGAACCGCCCCAGTTAGACCCTTAAAAAGAAGCAGAGAGATTTTCAAAGAAGTGTTCGACGCTCGGTTTCCCCGCGAGGAATACCACGGCACACTGCAGGAGACCTGATTCCCGAAGGAGCTCTTGACTGCCGAGTACTTCTGAAAATCAGGACAGCTATGTACGTGCTTCAGTGGCAAACACTGGTGGGTTACGGTCTTTCCAAAGTCTCGCCCTGAACATAGTTGCCAAGCCACATTTATTGCTGGCCAAACCCAATTATTCTTTATCATGGCAAAAAAAAAAGAGGAAGGGAAATGTTATATTTTTCGAACATCCTTTGCAGAAAATGTGCAAGTTTTTTTTACAGTGTTTGTCAAAGAGGAAGAAAGCGCTTGTTCAATGCTGCATGTGAAAGCAGCTTACTGGAAAAGATGAAAACTTATTATTGCCAATTTTGAAAAAAGAAATCGTTGGCTACTAATGAATAACTAATCTAAGCTAACAATGTCTGGAAATAGTTTTTTTGGAACACACAAAACTTTGTGACGGATAAAAATTAGGAAATTAAAGCTTATTGTACTATTCCAAATGTAACTGTTTACACTTGAGGAAAAATAATGGAATAATATCCACTTGGAAAGTTTTTATTTTTAAAAAATCCTTTGTAATGCTCCCAGAAATTCCCTCGGCCAAAAGCAAATAACTTGCTTCTTAACCAGCTAGGAAAAAAGAGCATGATACTACAGGCATGGGCTCAGTGTACAACAAACGCACAAACGGCTTTACGAAGATCCTTCTGAAAATCTCGCAGGCTGGTGAACATTTAAATCGCACCAAAACCCACTCCACAGCGTACTAGATGGCTTCAAGTGTTTTCTCATGAAACGATGAGGCACAGGCAAAAAGCCTTCTCCCACAAACAATTTTAATATTTGCAGGTATATAATCCTCTATCTGCACTGATTTCTGGTATTTTCATACATCCAGTGTGAAAGGGGAGAGCCCAACTCATTTGACAATACAATCCCTAAATCCATTTTTATCTATAACAGGTTGCTTTTCCAAAACTGTGGGTAGATGGGTCTGCTTTCAGAAAACCATCCCTTAAATTCTGTAACACACCAAATAATCAACAGTTATACATTTGGCCAGATGTAAATAAAAATCAGTTTCAAAAACTGATTCGGTAGGTCATATGCTGCACGACTGAAACCTGCTGAGAGATGGAAGGTGTATGGAATCTGTTGCTCTCGACTCCTCAAAAATCAGTTGGAGGAATCTCCTTTGAGATGAAGGTATAACATGAATTGCCCAGAGAAGCTGTGGATGCCCCATCCCTGGAAGTGTCCAAGGCCAGGCTGCATGAGGCTTGGAGCAACCTGGTCTAGTGGAAGGGGTCCCTGCCCATGGCAGGGGGGTTGGAACTGGATGATCTTTAAGGTCCCTTCCAACCCAAACCATCCTGTGATTCTATGAAAAATCCAACCTTTCTGTATTAGCCAGTGAAAAAGCCTTAAAATCCAAATAAGGTTGCTGTTGATTTTTGTTTCATTTTTATTACACACAAGATTATTAGCTGATGCCAATACACTGTCATCACAGTACTGTGTCTCACCAGTAATTATATTGTGAACATAACGAGTACCCTCAAATATGATATACTGCTTCTCCCCATCAGCAAAGGTGAACCCAGCAATAGCAGCCGTTATGCAGCCTCTCCACCCAACATCAGCAAGCTTCAAAATATGCTGCAACCTTACCTAAAAAGTTCCTAAGTTTCTTTGTCAAGTTCTTGTAAAAGAACATCTTACATAAGAGGGAAAGCAAATGATCAATCTTCAGAGAACAGTTTGAAAACCCTTAAACAGTTAGCCTCAAATAAGCAAAACTAACACACAGAATATCCTTCTGAAATCTTTCTGAAGCTGCTGTAACCTTCCTTTCTTTACTCAAACTGTAAGTACAGACCCCCTTAGAGAACTTATTTTTAGTATCACTGCAAACATCTTACCATTCACTGGTTACAGACTTTTACCTACTCTGCTTTCAGACCACACTCAAGAACCATCATGTTAATTCAAAGAAAAAGGTGATCATTCTGTGTTTTCTGCAGAAACTCAGAATACAAGCAATTGTGCTTTCACATTTGCAAAGACTAGAAGACTTGATGGATTTGTTTTTCTTTCTATTCTCATTCTGGGACAACATATCTACATCGGTGCCCATGTTGACACCGAAGATCAAAGTTCAAGACAGGAATATGAGCCAGCTCGTTTCCGTATGACACAGCCATCGGGATTTACTAGCTGAGGTGTCTCACATCTGCAACGGAGCAAGCGAGTCTTCCCACTACAGGTCCCAGGTAGACTGAGATGCTCTCTGCCACAGAACAGGGTATGCCTGAGTGGTCCATCTTACAGCGGTGACACGTGGAGAACAACACAATGTGTGTAGAAATTAAGCAGGTTAAGAATGCCCAAAGTGCGGCATCAGCTGACTTCTCCCCATAAGCAATTTATGTTCTAATGAAACAATAGATTCCATTGAAGCATAAAATATCACACCCAGAAAAAACCACACTCAAATGCACGTCTGCTCCACCTCTGTGAAGGTGCAACCGGCTGATGGTGCACAAAGGAAGAGAAATGCTGATCGAATTCAGAGGGGTTAATCTGCAAGGCAGTTGAGAATGGACTAACACTAACCTCTGGGTAGCCTCCAACGTCATGCACATCGATTCCAAGTAGATGTCCAAGTCCGTGTGGCATAAATATTGCACCCAGATGAACCTTCACCATGTCATCTACATTGCCTTTCAGAATGCCAATTTTAGTCAACTCCTCCAGATGGACTCTGTCAGCCAGACGGTGCATATCAGGCCAGGCGACCCCTTAGAGAGCAGAAACAAGCAGCTGAGTTAACTCTTGCTAGAAGTTTTTAAAGACGACTTTCAAACAGCAGATGTAACACATGTGCCCTTTGTTTATATATAAAACAAAGGTGGAAAGAGCAACTACTTCGGCACAAATATACTTCAATCGAGACAAAATTATCTTAACAAGCAAGCAAAGCACAGAAAACTAGGAACGAGGAACAGCAGCACCTTACAATCCAGCTCCACACGAAAAAGTGTTGAGACACTGCATCGTGGCACGTCTTTGCAGATACAAATGTAGCAGCGAGTTTTCTAAAGGAATATCAACCGTAATATGCAATAATTTAAAATGCAGAACATAAAATATGACTATCCTATTATTTTAAACAGTGATCATACCCATTTAGAACATCTGAGATGGACAGCACTTTTCTACGTACGTTGAAGATTTAAAGCCCACATCTTCCTGGCACAGACACTCTCCAGAAATTAATGATTCCCCTGTGTTAATGGGCTGTGTATAACACAAGGCCTCTAATACACGTACTAAAACAGCATTACAAAATACCGTTGGTTGACTAGAGACAGAGTGCCAGGATACATTAGATTTCTATTATTTTGGTATAGGATACAATTTTGTTTGACAAACTGCTGGGGGGAGGAGGGAGGAAGAAAGCAGCTCTTTTGTTAGTAACACAGTACTGTCTTAATTAGTTCACCATGGCTTTGAGTCATCATCAACAGAGCGGTTGCAGACTCAAGACAACTAGGGCTAAGGTACAGTAGAAGAATATTTTCCTTGTTCACTTTTGGCATGATTAAACAAATAAAAACCAAGCAATTTTTAAGGCCAAATCCCCATCAAGTTCCATTTGCTTTAATCCAGTTAAACACGCAGCTCTAGGGTCTTGTGAACGTGAATGTCACATCATAATTACATTAGCACTTTTTGCTGAAAGTAGGGAGGCTTCAAAGGCTGAAATAAAATCATCCTATGGAAGCGCTTACATAAAATTGAGTTGTTTTATACGGCTCTGATATAAAGATCAGAACCAAACTGAAGAGCAAGTGGCTGCTCCGTCTTGCACACCATCCACCCAGAAACCGATGCACCTTTACGCTCCCATTCACGCTGACTGCAATCAGCTCAGCGCCTCGGTCAGTCGACAGGCAGCCTCCTTTTGCCCATCAGAGATACAACTTCTTAGCCTGCTGCGTGCACGCTGCTGAAGATGCTCCTTCCTTGCCCAAGCAAGGCCACAAGGCAGAGGTGTGCGGCACAACACGCTCGGTTGCTGTTTCCTCACAAAAGGCATCCGTGCCCAAGTGAGTGATGCTCACTCACAAAAGGTGGGCAGTCTTCCTGTTCAAAATGCGCTATTTCTCTGTTTTCCCTCCTTTGAAAAGAAATTTAGATTTTTCCTTCAGTACGAATTAATACCACAGTGACCAGTGGTTCGTTGATTTTACAAGAATTTAACTTTTTTATCTGTTTGGACATTGCCTGTACTGCAACTTTCACTTTGCTGGATTCATCCCTGTTTCGCAGCTAACCCACAACAGGCTCCAATCTATTGCCTGATAGATTGAGACCATTACTACCTATCACATCCACATCACGGATATCAAACTGAAGTATTACTGAAGCACAGACGCTTTCCTGTTCAATCTGGAGCTGCGGGAATACAGAATTTCTGTGTGTTGACTCCCAGTTCAGCATCTGCACCTTGCAGTCGACTCTAACTGCTCGAGAAGTCTTTAGTATTATTTCTGGGGACATCAGATGTTCTCCTGAGATTTTCCCATGATTTCTTAGCCGAGTATTACTACGTCTTCTGTTTTCATCCCCATGTTACATCTCACCCTGGTCAACTATTTGAAGCCTCATCCTTTCCTGATATAAACAAGGGTCAGAACTCCGTGGCTGTAAGACAAAACACAACCATATCCCGGATGCTCTGAATCGACTTAAGATGAGGTGCCTGAGAGAACCGAAGATGAGGTGCCTGCTGTTTCCAGTACAGCTTCCCTCTACAGCTGTGCTGGTACTATTCATCTCAATCCAAACCCACAGACTCCACTTGAAGAGACAGAGAGACCCTTATCAAACTAAGGAAGAGATACAAGTATCACGAGATACAAAGATTAAACTAGGCAGAAATAAAGACACCAAAACCACATATCCATTAGTCTGCAGAAGTTTAACAGAGTAAACGAATGTCACTCCTGCCCTAGCTGAAAAGATTGCTGTGGTGCTAAAATCTTAGTATTCCTGGGCACTGAGCAAATCCCTTCGAGCCCCTTCTTCCCTTGCCTCTACTTTTTCATTCTTCTCTCACTGAGAAAAAGTGTGCCTATTTCCCCTCTCCTCCCACCCAGAGCTCTGTGTTCCCCATCTGTTTTGGTTTTTATTCACCTTATCTATTTCATTAGAGACCAAGGACAACAAAAAGCTTCACTGCGAAATAAATAATGAGGCTGGATGGAAAATCTGCAGCTTTGGGCTCTCTCTTGGAACAAGGGCAGCGCTTCGGACAGAGCCCAGCAAAACAGCTCTGGACTGCTCTTCTATCATCTGGCTGGTGCCATCAGTTTTGCTGGAGATGGGAAGTACTTCAGCTCCAGCTCTCTTACGCACGCTGCAGATAGCACTGGGACAGCTCTGACCCAGCTGGAGGGAAATTAAGCTACTGCTGGAGATGCCCCACTCAACAGTGCAAATCTTGTTTTACAAGTAAATAGGCGTTCAAGTAGTCTTAATTAAAAAAACAAATTGTTTATAGATACCTTGCATTTTCTATTCTATTGTCTGGCTTCACGTTTTGTTCTACTACGACTACAGCGTGGTGGTGTTTTTGCACTGTTAGGTAACCCCCCTCCAAACCACGTAACGTGCAATGCTTGTGCAATACAGTCACACATACACAGACCACTACTGGTGTGCTAAGACAAAGTAAGGCATTTGTGAGCTGACTATAAACAGTGAACTAGCTGGAGTGACTTTACCAGTCTTAAAATAATGGTGATGTCCTTGCCTTGGTTGATGAGTGGATTGCCATCATGTTAGGAATGAGGTAGAAACACCAGGTTCCCCCTGCCACCCCTTTTTATAAATGAGCAATTTGACAGAGGATCTAAATGCAAATCTTCAAACAATTCTTAGTACCCTTATAGTCTTAAAAACATTAACTTTGTCAAGAGAAAAAACTATTTTACAGTAATAAGGCAGTAACTTAAAAGTGCACAACACAATCTATTGGAGGAAAGTCCTAATTCAAGAAAAATCTTAGTGCATTTTATATATAAAGTATATTCATACGATGTATAAGCTTAATGTAAAATAAACAGAAATAGACAACTTTTCAAATTTATTTTAAATCTAAAATTGCATTAGGTTTATCTGGCAATTGGAATATTTATAATACAATGGCCTGTGCAAACCCAGGTGTCTCTGAGACTGGCTGGCACCTCTGCACTTGACTGTCATTTAAGTGAACTCGTAAGTACACTTGAAGAGCAAAACTCCTCAAATTCTGCTAATCTAATTTTTCCCACCTACATACCAAACTTCCCATAGTTGTGAAAAGCAGAGAAGGGAGGAAAAATTAAATATCACAGGTAACGTGACTAGGAAAGCCATGAACAGAATTTTTTGGCACTCTCACATCTGGACCAGCCAGAAGGACTTGCAGCGAGGAGACGCGAACCCCCGTGTCAAAGCACAGAGGTATCTGTTCTGTTCACGAGGCTGCGTGCTCATCCATGTCCGGATAGCCTGAGCATGTCAAAACGGCGAAGAAGCCTCTGTGTGCAGGCAGCCGGGGAAAAACCTGCCCAACAGGAGAACGTTTGCAGATGCAAAGGGAAAAACCACTAACAATGCTGAACGAATAAAGTTTTGCACAAAGAATCCTTAATTCGTGGAGGTTACTTGACGTTCGGGCGCTTCTGTTTTTTGGATTAACGGTGTGCCGGTGGAGAGCTCTGTCACCCGCCGCAAGCTGATGCAGCAGAAGTCAAACACCGGAGTAGCATTCTTGTAGTGAGAAAAAGCAGTTAAGAAAAACCCCTCAAAACCACACAGAACAACTTCCACACAAGCGGCTCTAACATCAGTTACAGGAGTTACTGCAACGGCTCTCTGTTTTGCAACACCAGCCAGCACCAACCTCCCACCACCCATCACCCACCAGGATGCTTTACTCGTGTATTACTCAGGACTATTATTTTTAAGCTTTGGTGAAGTTTATCATCGTTGCAGACATGCTTTTTGTGTAAAAAGGTTTATCGTAGCTGCAGACATGCCTTTTGTGCAAAGGGGTTAGTTCCCTTATTATCTTTAAGCCAATTTATAAACCAATTATAGTCCACTGACAGATGAGGTTTAGAAAGGCAGATTGGAGGGTCCTTGGACTTTGACAGCTTGTACCAAAATGAGTCTGCACTCAGGAAAATCTGCTGATGATGTGTCTGCTCCATTCTTAATTCTCTGCCAAACGAGATACTGGGTAACACAGGTCACTGAACCAGCGACTGGCTCCCCAAGAAAGATCAGTTACCAAGGCTCGTTAGGTTGCGATTCGTTACCTGCCACGCAGCGTGCGCTTGAGCGAGAGGCCAGGACAAAAAGCACCTTTTACAGCAACCAAAGCATTTGAGATCCAGCACAATACAGAGTGAATGAACTCCACGGCAATGACCAGACAGTGGATAATGATGTCCGAGACATCCAGTAACAAAATGTGACAGATCATGCAGTAATTAAACAACACGTAACTATGGAGGCCATGGGTTTTCAGATGCCTTGCAACCAGATTAGCAGAGGTTTGCAGATGTGTTTGTGTTTAAAAATGGCAAACTTCATGTATTTTTACTGAAAGGGTTTTTTTTCTTAAATATATTCCCATCAACCCAAATGTTATCTGATATTCTTAGATAATACCGTGACAGAAAAGAAAAAGATGAAATGAGCATTGTTCTACTTCCTTGAAAATATGTCCTCTCTAATTATCTGT